ACCAATTAACTAATATCATAAAATATGGAAATCTAGTGTAGAGATGAATTTAGAATCACTCTTAAACTATATTTTCATGAATATATTAAACATAAACATGTAATGTATCTGGATCTCTTTAAATCTGAAATACGTATTTTATATTTGTGAAAACGTGATATAAACGTATTATATAGGAACAACTGCATTTTACGTTAAAATGTATAAAACGTAAGTTTGCAAACTCGGCAGAGACGCAGCATTCTTTTGCCGAAGAAAACTGTGGTTGGCACATTACCAATGCAAAACGCAATACAATGTATGCCACTTCGGCAAATTCACCGCTCGTAAACTCTTTAATGTTCTGTAATTTCTTCCTCTATTCCAAATAGAACTTTAAATTTCGCTGTGTCATAAAAAAATATATATATACAATTGAAAATATAATATTTATTTATTATTTACATATATTAGAGACTATTAACCTTCAATTATATGAGTGGGTCATTTGGACTCGGTGAAAATTTTAGTCTGCCGCTTTTTTTGTACGGTTAATATTGCAGAGCTGAAGTGAGGAAGTAAAAAAAGCTTGAAATCTTTCTCTGTAGATTGCTATTGTTTCGTTATTATCTTGACGCTAATCGTGATGCAATAAAAGTTTGGCTTGGGTAACTTGGACCCGTCAAATGTAAATTCGACAGATTTTTGCCGAAAGTGAGAATTCGTTTTTAGTGTTGTATTCAAGTATATGTGTTGTCTTCTTATAATTAAAACATATATTCATTATTAAAAAAAGCATTTTTGTGCAAGAGAGGCGTCTTGATGAAAGCTTTATTTTCTCGGAGTTATAAAATTGTGAGTAAATAATGTCGAAATCATTATATATTTAATATAAAATACTTTCATTGCATTTTTTTTTTTTAAAAGAAAATACTCGACTTATCTCCTATATTATTTTTCCGAGCATGTATAAAAATGCTCCCACTTCAGTCGTACAAATAATTATATTTTTTGGAATGAATAAATATAATCTATTTATTTTCTTTCACGTTTTCTTTTTTTCAAAACACTACTTATTTTTATCTGTATCTTTTTTTATCATAAAGATATGATTTTTTGAAAAAGAAAACTGATTATTGCATTCTTTTCACAAATTGTTCTTTAATATTTTTTGGCATAATTTTTTCAATTATTATCAAAACCTTTTTATGTATTGATATCTCGATTCTATACATTCTAGCACTTCATTAAAAAAAATATTTTCCATTGATATTTGTGATAATTGCAGAGCCAGTCAAAAACGCCGTAGATGACTTGAATCCAGACATGTAAATTAAGACTCTATAACGAGACTATAGTTGAGAGTTAAAGGATATACTATAAGCTTTACATGTACTAAGAAATGTAATTTGTCCTTTTCTGTTTATTCTATTTGTACAATACTTAGTTAATCAACCTACTGTTACTATAACAGTGAACTGTAGTCTTTGCGTTTTTAACACTATAAATTACTGCATTCTTGAGAGAAGAGTTAAAGAAAGTTACAAGTAAACATTCCATTTCCCTCGAGCACTTCTTCATTCCAAGCCGACAACGTATCGCTCCAGCTTCCGTTTGTTGCCATTCGGAGCAGGGAAGAGTTCGGGACTGAGAAAGCTAGTCGCGTCACCGGCAAAGGGCCAAGACACGAGCGGCTATCTTTTGAGCGACTGGAATGGCTGAAATGAGAATGCGAAACGATCGAAGGCCGCGCGTGAAAAATAAGTTGTGCCGGAGAACAATTAAGGAAATGACAGCCGTAAATTTTGGCGAATCGCGGCCGCGTTTTAAGGGCGTCTTTTCGCGAGAACGACGAAATTGCTTCCATCAATCCGAGCGCCGCGCCGGGACAAATTAAAGAAGAATCGGCAAGCCTGTTCAATAGAAACAAGGGTATACTCCCTCTTTTAGCGACATTTTTGTTGTAAAGTGTCGTTTTAATGGGTTTTACAAATGTTCTATTGTGAAAAGATCTATGTGAAAACAAAAAGTATATTTTTAAAAACCTACATTTTAATAGGGTTGATAAGATAAAGAATAACATCTGTTTAATAATAAAATATAAAACACCGCGTGTTGTGTGTGTTAATTAAATTTCTTAAATTTCTTAATATTATTTAAATTTGATAATTATTGATAATATTATATCATTTTACAAATTTGTAGTTTCCTAAATCAGTTTCATTTATATTTTTTTCTTTTCTATTTTTTCATAATGCGGTTTTAAATATAAAATCGGGATGCAGCGTAAACCGGCATACGTGTCTGTAAGATAGATCATAAGTTAACTTTATAGTGTTGCGTTATAGTGTATAGTTCTATTGGAGCTGAAGGAAAATATGTATTAATGAAAAACTCTAAAAAAAGAAACTGTTGTGTTACACTGTTTGCGTCTTGCAGAACAGTATAAAGTATGTATATAAATTCTTTTTCGTCAGTTACGGTGGTATATACATGTATGAACGAAGAACGTTTTATATAGAAGTGAAAAGCTTTTAGAAAATCTTATATATATTCACTTGTAAGTGTTTTGTACAGATAACCCCTGTAAAAGAAAAAGAAATAAATATATGGCATTACAACCTATGTCAGTTTTGGAGCCCATTTTGCCAGACGTTCATTGTTTATTTTACGGAAAAGTTAATTATGCCAAAACAAATATTATAAAAACTGCTATATTGTCTGATAGACATTTTCTAGCCGTATTTACGTTTCTAAAGTTTTATTTTTAGCTTTTGTTTAGGAAACATTATTCCAAAATATAATAATATGTTAGTATCGATGACCTTCCTCTTTATAATTATTAAAGAATTTATTAGCCTTTCCTTTGTATTTAATAAGAATTTTAAATGGGGAAAACGCAATTGGTCATTTTGCTCTTTGCGTACGAATTTCCAAGATTTGAACAATACCTACCTGCAAACTCAAAGGTCTGGTTTTTTGTCCTTTAAAAAAGTTCTTTGAATTAAATGCAAATTACAAATCCATTAAGAAGCAATTCAACAGCATGCTTCGATAATGCCCTTTTTTATTAACAAAATCTTATTTTCAAGAGGGATGATGGCGTAATAAACGGCAACGTCAATGTCTCTGGTCTAGCCTAATTGTCTTTTAAATGTTTCGTCATGAAACGAACATTAGCCAGCGTGGGGTTGATAATAGGTTCTCGCTGTATCGCTTCCTTAAGAATTCCGACTTGGTGCCACTAATTAACAGTGGAGGGGCCGGGTGTAATTTATGCGCGGGGCTCGTTACCAAACAGGTGGTGCCCGGTGGCTAATGACCTGGAGATACCAATAATTCATTGATTAATGCCGTGCGCTGAATTTGCAAGTCCAGTTATCTCGTATTTTCCGCACCCCGGCAATAATAATTATCAAACACTCCAAGCTTTCGATTGTAGTCATTCATTCGCTCGTATTTTGCACGGAAAATAGTAATAATTAAGATTTATACTTCTATTTAATACAGGCAACTGTTCTTACCAATTTGATATCTTTTATCTCTTATTTCATATTCTTTGAACGGTATATCTTTATTGCATTTTTATTATTTTGACAGATATACAGTTTTATATATTTTTTATAACGTTTTAATTTTCAATATTTGGTATCATTTTAACTTAAGCTTTTAATTATATTTTCATGAATTGAAAAGTTGTTATATTAATTAAAAAAGAATTGTATTTGTGTTATATAAAGAATAATAATATAAAATAAGTTTTTTTCGGAAGTTTCAAGTTATTAAAAATGCACTAATATGAAAAAACAAAAGTTTACACATTTATTTTTGTTGCAGCGTATCGTAAAATCGTCTTGTAGATTTATTAAAGTTCATCTGCGATCGCATAGACAAGTAACCGCTGAACATTACGAAGTCTTTAAAGTGGACTGGATGAAACAGCGTATAATTAGATAAGGTGTAAGACGTATTTGGAGCGTGGCCATGCTGGCCCGCTGCCAGTGTTCAGCTTTTCGCTATAAACCTACGAAAAGGGTCAAGGGGGTGTCCCTGGTGGAGAGAAGCGAGGAAGCTCTACATTGGTTACATCGGTCGCATTGATCGTATGGCACGTGCGCGATTGGATAATTTCTTAGCCAACTAAAAAGTAAAAAGGGAAGAGACACTAGGTGTAATTTTTTTTGTTGCTCACTGTGTAAAAAAAGATATCAGTGCTCTAATTTCCGGCTTTGTTTGCTAATTATACTATAGTCCACAGATTTGTCTTCGTATATCTTTGTGATGCATGCATCTTTTTTTATGATACTTTTATTTGAGTAATTTGTTTCACGATGTTATTTTTCTGGTAAAAAAATTGGCTAGAATAAATGATAAAGAATAAAAACAGTTATTTTTATTTATTAATAGTTATAACTCTAACTTAATTATTATTGGTATTTTTTTTATTTTTATTGTACATTATACAAAATTAATTTTATTACTATCTATTTGCTTAACGGAAAACAGTCGTTGGGCAAATTCGTCATAGCAGGTGCACAATGTGTAGAATTAGCTACCATCAAAGCTAGATTGTGTTAAGCTAAAGCTTTACTTTGGACGCACGCACCGCGTTTATCAGGCTACGAGGATTACTCCGAAGTGTCGACTCGTGTTGTTATCTACTAATTCCAATTAGCGTCAGTGATCTTCTGTGTTACCTTCAGCTCTAACTTTGGTTGACATATGTCTATGCGAAGGGATAATTTGGATTTCCGTCGCGATGCCACATTATGCCTGACATATATTTGCGTACAAATAAACACTTTTATAAAAAAAAAAGGCGAATGTGTATTATGTCTTTTTTTTATGAAATGAAAATGATGATTTTTGGAATGAGAATGATATAATTCTATATTTTATATTATGATAAGAGAAATATAACACTGAAATATATATTTTAACAGTCTTATATGTCGTTGAAAACACTTATACAATAATTTCCTATTGTGCAAAAAAATAATCAAGTGGTTTTATTGTTTCAGAGAGCCTCAGGGAGTATTTCACCAAGTACGGAGACATTACAGAGGTTATGGTTATGAAAGATCCCACCACACGACGATCAAGGTAAGTAATGTAAGATATGCATGCACATTGTATATGAGAGGACTACATTACCTTATATTTATTTTTTTTTTTATTAACTTTGATAGATTTTTTATTATTTTTATTTTTTGATTGTTTGTCTAAAAATTGAAAGATTTATATATTTCTTACAAATATTGATTAACATCTATTAGAAAATATGTTAGGTACATCTTCACATATGAATAATCTGATATACATTCAAATGTGCTCGTAAAATTTCATAACGTCACAGCCATGTGTCACTCTTCCGAAAATTTTCATTATACTGTTTATTTTGGTCATTGAGCGCCGAAAATGTGAATATGACTGACGTGCGAAGGTTTTGCTAAAAATAAGTATATATTGATCGGTAGACTATGAACCTGATCTCTATATTTTTCTTGTTTTGTTCTTATCGCTTTATTCACAAAGGAAATGAAAGAAAATTACAACAAATAATATTTATAGCAGGGAAACTAATAACTGTATAAAAATTAACAATATTTCTAAACTATGATGAGATAATCTTAAGAGAGAGTGATGTAGATTATTTTTAATAACATGATAATAGTAATAATAATTACGATGCAATAATTTTTAATAATAATTTTTCGAAAGAAATGTGTTTAAACAAAATTATGCAACCTAAAATGTTATATGTGGAGTAACTAATGTGTTGCGAAGATACTTATAGTAGCGTTTTTGACTCGTTGCAAAATTAATTCACTGCGTTGTTCACATCACGAGGACTAATGCGCAGTATAATGCAATGATATATAGCGTGCTGCGAAAATCGAGTTTCGGGTCGAGTGTCGCTGTTAAGCAGAAAACAGAGTAACACCGAAGCGGATGGTAAATGCCAGAGCACACCAGCATCAGAGTAATTACCGGTTTTTAAGTGGAGGAAACGAGGGGCGAGTCCGACGACGAGGGTCGAAAGAAGAGGGACTGGTAGGAGGGTCGAAGGGGTGCGTCCAGCCGTTATATACAGCGTACCCTCGTGTGAAAGGGAAGCGCGTGCGTCTTATCGCCTACCGAATATAAAGCCGATATTTTATTATTGTAAGATCGACACAGAGCGTGACTTGTCAGTGCGTAACTGCAGGTATCATTATTGAAACATAATGTAAAGGCATTTTAAACGTATATGTAAATAATGAAGTCCCTACGATTATTCGGTATAATGGTTTCAGTATTTTCTATTTTATTGCTTTAATCTTGATTTCCATTTATCTAGATATGAATGAGTTGTACAGCGACAGATACAACTCAAATGCATAAAACTTGCTTATACACTTATGAATACTTCAGAAATAATACTTATACATTAGATAATTATTCAGAAATATAGAAATGATTAATGTATATTGTAATTGTAAATAAAGTAGCAAAGATTCATTAATAGATAGAACAGCGCGCGCGTTACCGTAAAAAGTTCTCCTTTTTACAATATTATATAATAGAAGTACAATCAATAGAATGTAAATCTAAAAAATATATATATAACACGTGTAAAGATTATTTCTCTCTCAATTATATACATTTTATTTTAATTAAACTTTCTTCTGAAATATTTTTCTATTTGCAACTTTGAATCATGAATTTTTCTACTTTATAATCTTTCTTTCTGTAGACTTTTCATATTTATCTCTTTATTTCTAGCTCTTCTATACATAATTATATTTTACCTATTCAATCTCTTTTTAATTTTAAATTTTATGAATTTCATAGTGCACAGTCCTATTATATATTCAAGTCCTTAATATCCGCCATTATCAACACTGAAGTCTTTACATTATAAAAGCGTGCCGTCAAAACGTTTGTGCAACGATAATCGCAGTCGAATTGTCGCTGTTTAAATTGCCGTTTCTGGCGCTTATGCGCTGGTTACCTCTTGTGCCGTGCATTTCTCCGTCTAATTAATTGGCCAGAAACTTTCGGGCCATGCCCGCCAACCTTCTCTAATTATTCGTTCCTTTCATTCCCGCGGGAGGAGTGGGAAGGAGGTTGGGACACGAAGGAGAGAAGGAACTGCTGGACAACAAAACAGGGGACAACTTACTTCCGTCGAGTTACAAAGCACAAGCAACAGCCGGGCCTATTCGCACCAGCTTATTAAGCGAAAATAAAGCCCGCAAAATCAAAGAGCATTTCTCACACCCTTTCGGCTCCTTACATTTATTCGTGACTTTCTTTCTCTCTCCATCTTCCTCTTAATTTTTGTGAATCCGCTCCCTTCTAGTCTCTTCTTCCATCCGTGTCCTGGATAGTTTGAAGTCCGCTGACAATTAAGAGTTTTGTTCTTTACTCCTTCCACCGACGAGCTCGTTATGAACACGTCTAGCTGGATAAATCCATTTCATCATCGAAAGGAAAAGCCGAAGATTGAAATTTTAGCGTTCGAAGATTAACAGAAGTATCTTCTTAATCCGAGATGTAGAATTACACATACGATGATTAATTAATGAAAATTAGTGTTCTTACACTAATAGTAAGTGCTGAATCATAAAATATAAAGAATCTTTCTGATTTCTTTAGGGAGATAACCTATTTAGCTGAAGAACATTAAGGATGCAAATAATATTTTATCAGCAAAATCAGTCTACGTTGCAAGATTCGCGAGCTTCATGAGTTATCGTTATAGATTAATCGAAATGTGCCGTCGATAGATTTAAATTTCTTTCGTCGTGATATAAACGGGGTATTTCTCGGGTAGGTGGAGATCGTTTAAGGGTTGGGCGCAACGGAGATGGCGAGTGGAGGAGACCGAATGGAGAGATAGAAGGGACCGGCCGGGAACTGGAGCGGTTGAATCCCTCAGCGCCACGTCGTAGCTCATATCTGCCGCAAGGGGACGCGGATCCTGTATGCAGGGGTTGAGGTATGGGGTTACTCTGCGGGTTGTAAATTAATGGTTAGCCCGTGGCATGGTGGGGTTCGGCCTAAGGGTTCTGGTTGATCTATGGGCGGCATGTGTGCCAGGTCAAACGGGCCTTGCCCACTGATACGGGAGCGAAAATCTCTCTCTCTCTCTCTCTCTCTATTTCCCTCTCCCTCCTTTTACCTTATTCTGTCTTGCTCTTGCTTTGTCATCCTCTTTCTACTGGTTGCACTCGAGTATAAAATCGATAACATTTTTGATAAAACTGCTCGCAGCGAATAGAAACAAGGCTATCAGTGGATACAAAAACAAGTAATCGAACGAAGAAATAATTAGACAATTTAATATACACCTTCGACATCAACATTGCATACATTCATAATTATGAAGATTCATCAAAGGTAAATTCATTATCAAAACAGTTGATTATCTTATTTCTGAAAGATTTTTTTGTATTTTTAAATGATGGTTAATAAGATCGATCGTTTTTATTATACAATAAATAAAATTGTTAATGATTTTGCATTAAATTTAATTTTTAAAGATTTTAAAGTTTTAAAACAGAAATTTCTGAGCATATAATAGTTTTATTTTCTTCTTCTTTCAAATTCTTCAATGAAGTTGATTATTTCAATTTTAGAATATGTTCTTTGTCGCTTAAAAGCGCTATTATTGTCCGCTGAGTTAACTGCCATTGCATTTACATTAATTTTTATATGCGCTTTTGGAATATAAAAGTAACGCGATGCAGTCGAGTCAATCGCCCTTTTACGGGCTTTCCAAATGGTCGCAATACCAATGAAATTCTGACTGCAATCGATGTATAATAGCGGATATTCGGATGTAGTTAGTTCGGATGCAGTTAGGTTTCTATTCTTGAAATTGTGCTTTAAAAAGGTGCAATGTGCATTAGAAAGTAATAACTTTTTATTTTTTATTTCTCATTATTGACCGTTTTTAACACAATATTTAAATTAAACCTATAAGCACCATATTTTTTACAAACTGGATGTACATTTAATACTCTTTGTGTAGAATTCCATGAACCACCATCAAAGAGAGAGAGGGGGAAAGAGAGAGAGGGAGAGAAAATGCTTGTTCTTTAAAGTTAAATAACACATTTACTCTAATGTTCTGCTTGATCGTTTCATTAATTTTCTTATTTTGACCCTAACTTTGTCGTAATGCGATACGTTAGAATTTTGTCGGTGCGCGTAATAGTTAAAAACTTTTTAAATAAATACAATGTTAGTTTAGCAAGATATATTTACATTCTTAAAGGATTCGCACTTGTGCAAGATTGCTTTTAGACTATTAAGATACTTCTGTACAACCGTTATTCCTCATTAAATGTATCGAAATCCTCATTTCCGGAGGTTTTGCTTCTTTTAAGGAAGACGAGCACAGACTTTCTTTCCTATCGACAGTCTCATTTCCTGCCTCAAATTTATCAAGACAAATACACTTTGAACACGCTCCTTCGAACGCCTCTTGCCATTCGTCCGTCGGAAAATATCTCTAATGAACAAACTATCCGATTTGAGCCCGCGCTGCACCATCTCGACACATCTTCCCCTCGCTTGGCCTTCCTCTCGCCATGCGAGAAAGTTGCTGCCTTCGATAACTAATCTTAATTTCGTCACGGTATATTTGTTACGTGGCTACTAGCTTTCATCAAGACCTTTCGCCTTCCTTTTCAGTTCCACGCTTACTTGAACACTTCGGCAAGTGTAAAATATATTTATGTAGTATAATAAACGTTGCGTTTTCGTTCGAAACTCATAGATACCTTAAATTACATGAAGATAGTTGATAGAAGTTGAAGCAGAAAATTAAGTGAACATCACGTACCGGTTTCTATTAATAATAGTAAGAAATCTGTTTTTAATCAAATGTAAAATTGATTAAATAACACAGGAAAAGAAAAGATTAGATTAAATTGCAAGAAATACTGTTTTACTAAAATTAAAAAGTTGAACCCTAAACTCTTTAGAATATTAATTATTCTTGTTTTGATCAAAAAGTTTGACTTTTCTTATCTCATCTATTTTTATTCTTTATTTTAATTCTTATAATTATAAGAAAGCATAAAAAATAAGATTGACAGGCCTGATAAAAG